AGACAGTTGTAAATGAATATAGCAAATGCCTTAGAGTAGATCCAGGACTCAGATTGTGAGTTCAAATTCACATCCACATTCCCTAGGTGTGACCTTGGAGAAGTTACTCAACTCTATTCTCCAGTTTGTTCATCTGCAGAGTGCACATAACAGCACCTTCCTCATAGGATTGTCGGGTCGATTAAGTGTGCCACCCCTAGAGTGCCTGGCACACAGGAAGGGCTATATATGTACTAAGTGTTACCTACCTCATTGTTATCATCTTAGCATCCTCATCGAAGCTCAGGAGTCACATATTACTGGTGTTCAAAACCCATCTCTACTTGCTGTATGACCTTGAAAAAGTTTATTTTACCTCTCCAAGCCTTAGGGGTTTTTATTTGTAAAGTAGAGGTAATAAAGTATCTGCTTCCTAGGGTGATTGTGAGAGCTTAGTGCACTCAAGCAGCTCAGGGCACGGGGCTTATCACGTAGTGAATGCTCACAGCAGAAATATTAGGGAGTATCAAGGGCTGTTACCACGGGTGGTGGATTCTGGTTTTTCTTTAGGCCTATTTTGAACCATAAGGAAATATAGAAGTGAGCAAAAGGGCAGGGGCACAGTGAGTGAGCCAGTGATAAGGGCTCGACTGTCCACTTTGATCAATGATAGTCATGATAGCTTATAGGTTTGCATTGCTTTACAGTTCTCCAAGCTCTTACATGCATACTGACTCTTTGATATAACAGTTCTGTGACACAGTAGACAGAAGACCATTTCTTATTACTGCTGTTAACCAACTTCCCATTCACCCCCCCATATTCATGGTGTACTTCAGCAACTGGCTCTATATATATCCCCTCCACTCTTGATCTAGCTCTTCTTCAATACTTGATGCTTAGATAGATGATACATCCAGCACTTTGGACTTAAAGTTCTCTGCCTTTGCCTTTATGTCACACGAGCAACCAATCTCTGTGGCCATCTCCCGTCCTGTTTCCCCAAGAATTGTTCCATCTCTAAAATCTTAACCTACAATATTCTACTCTTCAGCCACTTATTACATATGTTATTTATAGTTTTGAGTTGTTACTTATGGGTTAAATAATCATAACAATTTATCCATCACAGTGGGTAAAAACATTTACCTATTTTAACTTTTTTTTTTCACTTTAATGAGGCAAAAAAGTGTAGTGTCGATAAACTTGTAGACTATCCACGGGGAAATTATATTCCTTGGTGATTCATTTAATCAGAGAAATACTATTATAACACTCTTTGCTCTTTTTAATCTACAAATATCTATTTTCTAAAGAAAAGTTAAATATTA